TATATATTTTTATATAATTTTATATAATTATATACAAAACATTTTTTCCCAGATATATTTTTTTAGTTTCATCATTTCTTTTTTCATCACCTCATTTATATAAAGTGCACATACAAGTACATACATATAAAGTAATACTCAATATGCATCCACACAAATTTAATAATTTGGTATATGTGTGCACATGTGTGTGTAATGTACGTATGTACGTGTGCATATATATGTATTATAAAAAAATCATATATCCATACTCTTATATGTGTATACACGTTATATGTATAACTCATACAACACAGATCAATCCAACAATATTGCAGCAACAGTGTAAACATTGCAACAATGTTGCTGCAAATTCTTGCTGTATAAGAAGCAATACTCAATATATCATGTATACAGGGTGTCTCATAATTCTTAATTAATATTTCTAGGAATGAGAGGATGAAATTTTGAACTAAAAGATTGCGCCCAGCCGGAATACGCAGGAGCGCAGCATGCCAAAGCAGAGCTCCTCGCTCTTACTGTACATTTTCCCGATAACAATTTTATTATAATTTTTCGTATATTAACTAATCTGATCGATCAACTTTAATCGTTAATAACTCGGTAAATAATGATCTGACGAGGGGAGGCTCCGGAGTGACCCTCACCGATTTCAATGAAACTCCTTGGCAGGATTATAGAGTGTATAATTTCCCTGAATAAAAATCATCCCCCATTTGGGTGTAGACGGTCTATCGTTTCCGAGATATTTTAATATTAAAGTTTAATAACGGCATTTCCTTTAGAGTTTATTAGAACGTTCATACTCGAGTATTTGTAGCGTAGTGGATATAATAACAACTTTCTTTACTATTTTAATGCAATATTTTAATGCATAATTTTATATAGTATCGCTCGATATATTACTGCCTGCTCGATATGAAATGTTATAATTATCTATTTGACACAAAATGTTATTAGAAATGTTTCGAAAATGATTACAAAAATAAATAGAATAGAATTTATCACACTTTAGCATATACAGCCGAGAAGGGGACTTGGTTTACATATAAAACTTAACTCATTCACACCTTCATATCTACAAAAAATGTAAACAGAGCGGATTGTCAATGAAACATTGGATAGTTTCCATCACTACGCTACAAAAATTCGAGTATGAACGTTCTAATAAACTCTAAAGGAAATGTCGTTATCAATTTTAATATTAAAATATCTCGGAAACAGTAGACCGTCTACGTCCAAATGGGGGGAGGGGGGGGGGGGATTTTTATTCAGGGGAACACACTCTACAATCTTACCAAGTTTCATTGAAATCGGTGAGGGTCACTCCGGAGTCTTCCCTTGTGAGCTAAAATTGGGAATAGGTTTGCCAGATCTACTAATGAGATTTCTGGGACGTGTTTGAGCCGGGAACAAAAAAATTTACGTATTTTTCCTATAAATTTAGAAAATAGATTAGAAGAACTCTTTTAATATAGTTATTATTATTGCATTTATCAGTCAACTTACATTTCGTACTTATCGCTAGACTTTGCCAATTTTATTACTTCTGCATCATTGGAGCTATTCAGAAATGAAAAAATTTCTTTACTCCATGTACGATTAAGCAAGCTGAAAATTCTCTCACAAAACGCATTGCTAATCGGAATTGACAAAAAAAACAAATGAAATTATTTTCTTCAGATTGACGAAATCTTTACAATTATTATTTTGAAGAAAATGAGTCCAAATTTTATTGTTTGGCAAATCTTTTGGGAGGACGTCAAATACAGCTTTCAAACACGTAAACTCTGAATAAAGAGAATCAATCAATTGCTTCTTCAATGTTCAATTATTCACACATGGGTATGTCCCGTGTCAATTTTAGTTCATCTGATTTAAGAGACAGGAAACCGAATTTCTTGTAGATTGTATCTGGGTTAAAGTCATATCTTTCTTTTAAATATGTAATTGATCTTTGCAGAAATATATGTGCCTGTGAGATGAATTCATTTTTTCTGTCTTCAGTGAAGGTTTTAAAGATGCATCTGATTTTACTGCCAAAAAAATTATCATCCAATCGACTTTGTAACTGGTTTACGAGATTTCGCATTATATTATCAATATTAATAATGGTACAGCTATCACTTTCCAACAACAATATTACTTTGCTAAATTCAGGCAACAAATTTTGCAAGAAGAAAAGACAGCACTTATTTATGCCTTTCTTTGGGCACTCTTCGTTCAAATCAGTATTGTCACAATCTTTCGAAATAAATTCCCATAGCACCCTGTGGCAATTATCTGGACCTTTAGATAAAAAATAATGTTTTACGTCGCAACTCGCGACTGATAAGTGGGCTGGCTGTGGCCGCCGCGGGGGGGTCGTGAATGTCAATTACGGGATAAAAATGTTTAATTACTGGACATGGGACAAGCCGACGAATTCCGGAACTTTCCCAGAAATCCCAGACGCCTGGCAACTCTAATTGGGAAAGGAACTTTTAGTTTAAAATTTCAATTCCTCTTTCACTCCTAGAAATATTAAGAGTTATGGGACATCCTGCGTATCCATACATGGTCACAAAATTAATCGTTCGGACAATTTGAAGAAATCATCGGTATAATAGCTGTCCCGATAATTTCATAAAATTATAAATTTAATTGTAAATTGAGAAAAAAAATTTTTTGTAAACTATAAACCTCAGAGTCCAATGTATTAAAATTTTCTATATACATACATTTATATGTATGTATATATGTATATAAGCAATACTCAATATATTTATATATACTATAATATAGTATATATACATATCTGTATATAATATATTTACAGATTTAATAATCAATACATACCAATAATGGTGGATTATATCATCATGAAGATTTCTGCTTGTGGAAGCATTCTTCCTACTTGTTGACAATTCCTTTTCTGAAACCAAAGTAGCCCAAAACATATTTTTTCAATGTCTTCTCAGTTGTTATATTTAATTTGTATTTTATAATCCAGATATGTAATTTTATTTCATTTACAGATATAAAGAAAAATGCTAAATTGTTTTAAAGAATATATGTTTGCACATAAATGAAATCATCACATATATAATTATACTAAATTGATGCGTTAAATAAATGATTTTTTAAAAATAAGTATATAAATACCTAATTGTTCATTTTGTGAAAAAGTGATTTTCCGTATTTCTTCAGATTTTTCTATTTTAATACGTTTGGATATTGGACCTTCATCTACAATTAATCATTTTTTTAATTTATTGTATAGATTATGCGAAAGTCTTCATTGATAAAATTGAAATTCTTCATTATGTTGAAATTGCAACTCTTCAATATTGTGAAAATATTTAATTCGATCATATATATAATAACAAATTTTTCCATGATAAAAATATTAAACAATTATAAATATCATAAAGCTGATATAATACTTTACTTTTTCTTCGTGGAAGTATTACATCATTTGGATTTATAATATCCCATTCGATGTTATTTGATGTAATCTGATAATTTGTTGGAAGATTGTATGTTTTAATACGTATCTTAATTTTATGTAGTTCTTTCTTATCAATTATACCTTCTGGGCCATTAAATATCACTGATGTTTTCCGTCTAAAGTTATTTAAAAAATAATATATTAATTTTAAGACATTCTTTTTTCATTAAAAAGTAAGGATGAATAAGTTTAAGAAAAACATTAAAGTTACGTTCAAATTGCAGTTACATTTATAACCCTTACAACAATACCATGCTCAATTTGGTGCCTCATCCCTACCATCGTGGGTCACTAGAACCTATTCGTTTTCACCTATTTAAAATGATTCAAAAAATCTCTAAAAATTCACAAACGTACATTCGACTTTCTAGAACAAATGTTTAAACTTCATTTTGGAAAATAACAAAATGTAGTATAAGTTATAATTACCGAAACACTTGTAAGTTTGAAAAAAATAAAGAATCGCTCGATCACTATAATAGATGGCCCACAATAGTAAGGTAAGAGATAATACATTTTATATTTATACTTCTGACACTATTCACTATTATTTATTATTATTCTGATACTATTCATTATTATTTGCAAATTACAAAATTGTTACTTTTTTGCAAACTGTTCAAATATATTCCATAATGTTTAATTATTAATGTTTAATTATTAATATTTAATTTGTAATTCAAAATTTCTATATATTCTGTTATTACTCATTAGAATGCTTATAGTCAGGAGAACTAGTTTCTCTTCGTTGTGGATTACTGCTCTTGCTTTGCTGTAAAGACTCTTGCTTGTCAGAATTTTTCATTAATTCTAATTTCCTTTTCCTTTCGAACTCTTCAATCTTTCTTGACTTTAGTATTTCATGCTTTATCAATTTCTTTTGTTGGATACGCCATTCCTTCCTTTTCAGCCTTAATCTTTCTTGCTCTTCTAATGTGAATCGCCACTTTTTGCGAGAATCCATTGTTATTGCTATAAACAATACATCCATATAGAGCAATAATAGGATTTTATAAAAAATTAAATTAATGAATTTTAATTAATGATTCAATAAACACCAATTAACATAATGTTATCATTTTCTATTCAATAATGTAATTTTTATACATAACAAGTGTTATATTCCATTTACATTGAGAGTAGAAAATTATACCGATGTAATATTATTGTAATAATTACAGTGTTTACCAGAGACCTTATTTTTTCCTTGGAATGTGCAAATGCAATTTTTTTCATTCATTTAGTGATTAATTAAATAATACATTTTGCATGAATTTTTCTCGTCATCTCTGCATAAAAATATTAAATAAAAAAAAATAGAAAATGCATGCTTTTATAAAATATTTTATGGTAGAACATACTTCGCTTGTCTTAGTGCCGAGACCGAGCGAGACACTACCGTGTCTCCAGATCCGAATGAAAATATATCGCAAAATAATCTCGTGCTTTCATTTAATATTTTTAACATGCAGAATGACACTAGAAAGCCTAACCTGAAAGTGAAAGTGGAATTAATGTGAGCACGTATATGGCTTTTTCCTGAAAATATTAGCTATATCTCTAATAAAACTCTAATTATTTTACACTGTTAATTTTACCAGTGCACAAAGAGCGGATAATTCGCGAAGAAACACTTCTTTTCTTTCCAAATAAAAGTGAAACGCCAAGTGCGCCACGTGACTTGAACAGAGCTAATTGGAGCTAATAAAGAAGCAAATGGAAGTCTTCTTCTTCTTTATTAGTGGCTCTCGCCTCCAAACAATGTAAAAGGAGGTCGATACGGCAAGCAAATGGAAGTGTTGGGCCAGAGAGAAACCTGAGAAAGGCCACAGAATATATATAAAGAGAAGTGCGAGCTCAGTGTTAAATGAAAGGAGACCAAGTCGATCGTCACGCTCGCGGTGGTTAGGACATCAATTATTAAATACTATATATTTATATATATATATATATATATA